TTGTTCTTTTTTTTTTTTTTTTTTTACTATTTAGGTTACTATCCATGTCAAATTAAGCAAGATGGCTGTCTTGGAGATAGAAAAGATGCTCTACAATGAGATAGAAAAGATTCCTAAACACTCTTGGAGTCCCCAAAGATGATCCTTAACTTGCTCATTTGTTATTCCTAACTATTTGCTACTTTCCATGTCTTTTTTAGAACACAAAACACTGGTGACTAGTCAGTTTCGTACATGCAAATTTCATTTCAAAATATTACTTGATATCCAACATTCTAAACAGAGGGGTAAACCTTGCCTAGTTTTTTCTTTTTTTTTAAAGAAAAGAGATAAAACCTTACGGGTTATCGGATTAGAAGGACTATAGAATACATCCCTGTCCCCTGAATCTGAAGGAAGGCACATGCTTAATGCCTTATTTTTGGGCTGACAATCCTAATGTAATAATCCACCATATGCATACTCCCACACTCCTAATTCATACTTGGCTACAAGAAAATTTTCTTGAAATAATAGCATGGTTAGAAATCATAATCGCCTATAAGTTAACTGCATACTTTGAAATTATCAAAAAAGAAAAGAGAGTATTTGAGACCAAATCTCCATAGCTAAGATACCAGCATAAACAAAAAACTTCCATGGTCATTCAGAACTGCTACTAGTTATGTCATCCATATACATTTGCTGCAAAACAAAAATGTCTGTAGAACATCTGTAGAACGTGAAACTAAAACAAAATCCATAAGGGAAATCCACCGAGTCAGACGTCAGCACGAGATATGCGGAACAGCAACTCAAATTCCTCACCCCCTTCAAAATATCCACTTGGAACAAGAAGAAAGTCTCTGGTTGAAGGCTGGTAACCTACCCGGCTGCGAATGCTTTCTATTTTACACGAAAGCCTCAGTGAGAGTTGATCCCAGTGGACCCATTTGACAGCTTCAATCTTAAGTTCAATTGAGAAGGGACTGATAAACGTGTAAGGTCCTATCCGGCTAACACTGACCATATTCCCAATATCATGTTCGACATTGTCGACCAGAAATATGTCTCCATCACTCATTTCTTGAAGAACGCAGAACCTTTCGTCATATCTCAAGGTAATGGAGTACAACTTATTGTACCTGAAGCATGTGATAGAATCTCTATGTTGGCCGCTCAAGTGCATGGATAGCTGCATCAGTGGACCATAGTAGTTGCAGCCCTCGATTGGGCATGAACAAGGCCCGTATTTCAGATATTTGCATGATCCTCCAAGCGACTGGATAATTTTCTCGAGGATTTGGCAGCGCTTAAAGCTGGCAGATGGAGCACAAGATTTACATTTACTTGAAGACGAAGAGCAGCAACTATGGCAAGCTATGTGCTCATTCTCGCACTGTATATAATTGCCAAATAAGAACTCAAACCTCTTCCATTCTAAACACCAGTGCATACCAACAGGAACAAAGAAAACAATCAAGATTGCACAACACGCGATTTCACCAAACACAATCTTCTACAGAAATCAAGTAAGAACAGAGAACAGCAAATAAGAGAGAAAACTGGATTGAATAAACCTCAGCAGCCTTCTACTTCTTATCATTATTCGCCATAGAAAATAAAGAATTACACCCTTCTCTTAACTCTATCTTACAAACCCTTACAGAAAAAGAGAACTATAAATCTCACATAATAATCACTCAAGAACCCAAGTTTTTGGCGTAAAATAGCATCACTGCTGCAGAAGATGAAATACACGTCTCTCTTTCAGTCCTAGAGAGCAGGGGTTTAAGCTCTACCTCTATTCCCTTATAATCCTTTTATTTAAACAACAGAAAAAAAGATCCAAAATTTGTTGTTGATTGATTCATATTATAAAACCCGTCAAATATAAAATATAGAAAAGACAGAAAAAGGACATATTTAGTAAGTGATCCAAAGGATGTAATATTCGTGATAATGCATCGATTGTATGCAAATATTTTGCGCGCATTAGACGTGTGTAAATGTGTTATGTGTAAGTATTGAGCACGTATCTTATACATGTTTGTATAAGATTAGTATATATGCATAATTATAATTATATTTGTGGTTATAGTCTTCAAATGGGATAAAGATGGACAAAGTAAATTTCTCGTTTCCACAATTTGAAATAGAATTTTCTTTCAACAATATTGAAATTATCACATTCCCCGGTTGTATCTACCAACCAAATTCTTCAAAAAGTTTTAACCTTTTTTTTTTTTTTTTTACAAAAAAATGACAAAAACTAAAAATAAAACTAAATAGCACCCAATACATAACAAGATTGAAAGTGAAGAGACCCACATTCGTTGAAACACCAGAATATGATTATGAACCATTCCATCGACTATCAAATACATGACCGATTAAGCAATTGAAACAAAGATTACTTCAAAGATACCATATGTGTTATTTATGCATTAACTCTACCACTTATTCGCACATTTCAAAACCTCGTAACAAAGAAAAAAGGAATAAGTATAAAGATACATACCATATAGACAGTGTTGAAAAGTCTTTTGTGGCAATTGGAGCAATCGAAAAGTTTGAGATCTTGAAGAAAGAACTTCCGCTTGTTTTCTTTGTCTCCTTCATCTCCATCGTTATCGTCTTCTCCATCGTCCTCTTCATCATCATCTTCGTCGCCGTCGTCATCCTCTTCTTCTTCATCGTCGTCGTCATCGTCGTCATTATCATCTTCTTCATCGTCGTAATCAGCGTCCTCCTTCTGATCTTCAATTTCGACTTTATCGCCGTCCGTTTTGTTTACTTCCATTGCGCGTCGGAGCGTGTCTGCTGTTTCTCTGGGTCTGGAGAGCGAGGCTCGTCATCGCGGCCATATTCAATCACCTCTATCAAATTTACCATCCCTTTCTCGCTCTCTAAAAAAAGGGATTAAACCCAGAATGGGAAAGAGAAATTAAAGCGAAGTGGAAAACATAAAACATAACATTGATCTGCAAAATAATGGGAAGAAACATACAATTTTACCAGAGCTGATGATTTCGAGTAGAGAGAGAGAGAGAGCGAAAGAGAGAGAGAGAGAGAGGAGGAGGAGGATTTGAAAAGTTGAAGAGCTTTTTATGGGAAAAGGAAGTTTAAAGCGGGAAATTTTTCCCTCTCCCGCTTTCTAGTTCTTTCATTTAACAATTTTCTTTTCCCAAATTAATGTCACTATTTTCCCCTAATTTAGACGAGCCAAAGCTGAAATTTTTCATAATTTTCCGAAAAAATGCCCTCTTAAACCTCCAATTTCTGGATAATTGACATCCATTTAAAAAACTAGTGGGTCAATGTTATAAAAGAGGGGATGACTACGTACCGAACAGTACAAATACGTTATAGATATGGAATTTTGCTTTTTAAAACCGTTGGATTGAACGTCAAAGGCTTCAGATCACGGTTTCATGGAAACAAAAATAGACATTACTTCATTTGATGAAAATCTATTCTTACCCTAATAAAAAATAAATAAATAAATAAATAAAAACTCCGAGTGGAGGAGCTGATGAGATTAACAGTCGGAAGGGGCGGAGGAACTTGCGACGAGGACCGGACCTCCGTCGCAATGGATCGCAATAAAACCGCGATCTCCGTCGCAATGGGTCGTGATTTCCGTCGCGACCCATGGTGGTGGAATGCCATCCACTCACACGGCCATCGCGATCTAGGCGCTGCAGGCGACCCCTCCCATTACTCCAGCGGCAGGGAACGTGTTCAGATCTTAGATTTGAGTTTTTTTTTTTTTTTATCTCTTAGGGTTTTCATAACTCTGGTGCGGGTGGGGACATCCATCTAATGGTGAGCTCATTCAATTTCCACCGCCTTATGGTATTGTAGCATTTCCCATATATATATATTTATATATATATTTGGGCTAACAATTTTGTCAAACACCTGCTCCTTATATTAATTGAACTTAACATGGATAACATTTTCCCGTTTTTATAATCAAAATTTAACACATACCAAATTCATAAACTAGTGGTAGTAAATAACATAATTATTTAGAACTACAATTATGATAGGGAAGACTATTTTGCTCCAAATAACAAAAGAAAAAAAAATGACTCTTTTACTTTACAGGTAGAGATTGTGTTTGGGTCATTAAATTATTTTTTCAAGGACTTGATTTAGAGTATAAATAAGTTTACGTACGATGTAAATTTTTAATACGCATATTTAATCGTTAAAAAAATAATTGAGTATTTAAAAATAATAATTCTTAGCGATGGAGTAAAAATATATGTCGTACTATAAAAATTTCCTTATTTTATCTTATTAGTAAATAACATGTTCTTACAATAATGCGTTTGTCTTTCCCAATTTACTCTTGTTCTTAATTACGGCTAATAGTAGTTTTGAAATTAAAAAATAATAATAATATCCATAGACCGGTTCATCCTATTCAATATTAATTCACGATAAAGAAGTGCTCCAAATTTTGAAAACCATAAATCCTATAAGAGCATATTAGTGAGCCAGCCATACTTGCTCTAAAATCCTAATCATATTTTATTTTAAAACAAGTGAAAGTTCAAACATGAAACAACTCAATAATATGTACCAATATAAAATAAAAGGAAGAGTCATGCACTCAAAAAATTTAATGCAACATTTTGGCGCGTTTTTTTATTTTTGGCCAACTTGCATGGGCTTGTTTTGTTAAGTATTTTTATTAGTTGGTAATTTATTAATAATCTTGTGAAAATTTAAAAAATAAGTTCAAGAAAATTTCAAGTTGCAGATCACTTTCATAATTGGAGTTGATGGAGGATTTGAATTCATGTTGCAGATTACGTGAAGATATTTTGCTTGGAGATTAAAATAATTCTAGAAGAAGACGTGGAGTTAGATTCGAAGTTAAAAAGAAGACGTAGAACATAATGAGTTGTTTATTGTCTGGGCGTGGCTTCACAAATGTAAGTGTGTGTACCGAATTGCGGTACCATATTATGTGTTTATTTACTTTTTACATTTTATTCTGCTTGAACAACTGAACGTAATTAATCCAAAACTCGTTTAATCAATCAGTGTTCCAATATTATTTGTGACACTTTACGTAAAATTAGATCTAACATCATTGGAATAGACTTTATTGGTTTTTCTAGACTAGCCGAACTACGATCCTCTCCAAATATTATTATCATTATGGAGTACCTTAATTCTTTACAAGGTGTATTGCTCCAAAAAAAAAGAAAGAATATTCTTATAAAATAGGAAAGAACAATAATTTGACTGTACTAGGAAAAACCGTCGAAATCCATTCCATTATACTTCTCCACCATTTTTTTCATTATGACTCACCCTTCTTCAAAGGTTCTGCTTTATAATTTCTCATGATCTTCTTCAACACCACAAGGAATCTACAGATATTAGCGGTTGTTGTGTTATTATGTAAACATTGTACATCTTCTTTTTCAAGTTAAACAAAAAAAAAAAATACACACGTACAGAAATACATAAGCCAGATAAACTATTTATTCCGAGCAAGAAAAAAAAAAAAAAAAAAAAAAAAAAAAAAGAGCCTGATAAACTATTAGTAAGACAAAATGACTACAAGTCTTAAATCATGCATATACGATGAAGGGAACCTGACCTATTCATGCATGCCTAAGATAGATGGTATATAGAACAACGTCAATGTTTTAGGTTTGAACAACAAAAATATGTCAAACAATAAAAGCAGGCAAAAGAATAAAGGGCGCTAGAAAGCTTATAAAAACAAAAGAAAACTTCTCCCGTCATTGATTATATATTTTATTACTTTTTTTTAGAACAGCACACTAGGCTCTTTTATATATCTTATTTAGAGCCCGTTTGGTTGGAGGATTCGTTCTCTGATTCGAATCATGATTTATGGTTCGATACAGTATTTTCTCTCACAAAAAATACACGTAAATAAAAAATAATTATAATCTTATGATTCTAATCCATGAACTAAACGGGCTAACGTTATCTACATAATAATAATAATAAAAAAACTAAGAAAGAAAGAAATTAAAAAATAAATACCTGATCAGGAGGCCCATGGAAAAACTTTTAATGAAATTGTTATGTGAATGTTGATGGTATTGGTACATAACTTATTTATAGTCGGACAATCCTAATCCTAGTTCAAGTTAAAGCCCTAATCATAGTGAAACTTCAGGCCATTTTCCCTAGACGACGTATTTTAACTGTAAGTCTTACGACCTGGCAAAATCACCTAAAGACGTCGACCAAACGGGAAACGAACACAAAAATGGGGGGGAAAAAAGTAAACTTAAAGCGGAAATGAATAAAACGACAGAGCGTTTTGAAAGGAGAAACCAAAAGAGTAACATAAAGAATAAAAAAAAAAAAGGAAAAAGGGGCGACAAAAAAAGAAGAAGGAAAGAACACTAACGACTGAAATGTATAAAAAGAAAAAAAAACACATTAAATTGGGAAACGACAGAACATTTGGACACCAAATTGACAAAACATTGAAAATAACGACAACTGCCATGTAAATATCCCAAACGACAATAAATTGGTAAACAATAAGAGAAAAGAAACGACAAGAACCGCAACACATTCCCTTTAGGTCAGATTCTAGAATTATAGGGCATGTTTGTTTAACTGTATTATATAATAATATAATATTTAGTGTAATTATTTATTATATAAATTAATATGAATAGTAAATTAATACAATTTACGTTGTATTATTGAATATGTCTCATTTTTTACGTATTGTATTACATTATTTTATAGTGGATTAATAATTCATGTTAGGGTTGGGCACGATTAAAGGTCAGATCGGATCGGATTGATATAGGATCATGTTGGAGCCTATAATTGTTGAAAAAATTTAAGGGGCACAATACAAATTTTATATTTTTTTTAAAATTATATTTTGACCCCAACAATTTATAAAATTACACATTGACCTCAACATTTTTATAAAATTTCATTTTGACCCCAAATTTTTTAAAAATTACATTTTGACCCTAAAATTATTAAAATTTTACATTTTGACCCCTCATATAATATGTCATTACCCCAAACATCGTATTATACTATGATGATAAAACACAATACAATACAATATAAGTTACCAAACACGATCATAATATATTTTATATAAATATATATATACACACCTTTAGGCTCAATTTTCAATGGTTACATTTGTAAAGGCGGTTACCATCAAATTAATATAGAAATTTGATGATATGATGTGATAAGTATTCGATGGTCTTGTTATAATCTAGACTTGTTTATACATTTGTTTCAATTAATCCTTGACACCCTCTTTTGGGGGTCACATGAAAAATGGCAGTAATTTAGAATGAAAATGATCAGAGATGAAAATGAGGAAATGTTTATTTTGTGGGCATTCATCAAATAAAGGAAAAAAAAAAAATCTCCAAACTGTATATCATTTACAGAAAACAGTACTTAACACTCAAAGATACTATAAAATGAGATAGAAAAGATTCCTAAACATTGTCTTGGAGGTCCCACAGATGATCCTTAACTTGCTCCCGGTGATATTCAGAACTAAAGACTGTCATAAAAAGAAAGAAAACAAGAAGAAACCATCAGTGAATACATAAAGAAAGTTACAAGCTAATACGTTTGAAGCATATCTTAGGAATTATCCTTTTTCACTTTAAGAGTAAATAAAATTCACGAGCAAACAATAAAAAAAGAGCGAATAAAGTTCAACATACAATTCTGGAAAGTCTGATCATCCAGCTGCAGTTGTGTTCCTGGAACCTGCGGTTTCATTTCATGAAGTTTACTAAATACAAAGCCTGCTGAAAGCAAAACGATCTGTGGTTTTGGATAAAACAGTTGGCAAATAAAACAGTTACTTACATATGTGTACCACTGATTCAGGAGATCCTGCAGCAACAGAAATGGATACGATGCACCAGCATCACCGCCAAAATAGCCGATTGGTTGGTATTGAAAAGAGTGTGCAAGAGAGGTAGGAATGTAGGCGCAACTGAGAAAAGGGGCAGGAGCAGAATCAGCCAGATTTTCAGGCGAATCTCTTGAGGAAGATTCAGCACGGATGTAATCTTCCGACACCATGTTGCAATATTCTCTATTTGGAGCCAAAATCAAGCGCAAATGCCTTCCTTCTAAGACGGTCCCTGAGTGAGAATTAATTGTGTGAGAGAGAGAGACAGAGAGAGAGAGGTAATGAGGCTCAATGAGATTTGAACTCGATGTTATACCATTAAGTGAGTGCAGAGCCTTCTTTGCTTCCTCTTGGGCGGAGAAACAAACAAAACCATATCCCTTACTAGTGCCATCAGTGAATCTCATCACTCTAACTGATATCACTTTTCCACAGCAACTGAAATGATCTCTCAGTTTGGTGTCATTCACCGATAGGTCAAGGTTCTTAACACACAGATTATTTGTGTCCTTAAACTTTTCAAATTGGTAGTTGATCATCTTCTTTTCAACTTTTATCTGAGCCGTTTCAATGACCAAATGCTTTGACCCTAATCCATAGATAATTTGACACCGTTTGTCAGTGAAGTGTATATTTATATATTCTTTTATTATTCAACGAAGAAGTTTCAAAGTCAATTGTGGTTACCAAGCAGCAAGCCGTTCAGATGCTCCACAGCGTTCTTAGCCTCTTTCAGGGATTCAAATTTGACAAAGCCAAAGCCTCTTGAATTGCCATTGCCATCCTTCAAGAGGTTCAGACTAGAAACCTTCCCAAACTCAGAGAACAGCTCTTGTAGGAAATCCTCAGTTATATCATAATCAAGGTTCTTGAAAAACAGATTGGTTGATGCTCGTTCTTCATTTGTTTTTGTCCTCACACTTCTCTTGACAAATTTGGAAACATGTCTAGGGAGAAGCATACGAATTGGAAATCAATTGCAATATCAGAATTTGTAAACCAAATAGATGAACATTCATGACTATTCATAATGAGGTATGGCTCAGAATAAAGGAAAGAGGGAGGAGGAGACCAAGAGGGCTTACAACTTTTTTCCTTGCACGGTCGAATTATGGAGAGCAGTGAGCGCAGCCATGGCAGAGTCCTCTGAATCAAAGCAGACAAACCCGAAGCCCTTGCTTGTCCCATTTTCTTTAGAAACCTTGCAAGATAGTATATTCCCAAATTTGCTGAACATGCCTTGCAATTTAGCACTTGTCATTGAACTGTCAAGGTTCTTCACAAAGAGATTGCCAACTTCAGTCTTTCTTGAAAGAGGGTCTCTTTGAGACCACATTACCCTCATGGGTCTTCCCTTCAACTCAGTGCGGTTTAGACATTCTATAGCTTTAGACGCTGATCAAAACAGATAATAGAATAGACTTATATGAAATCAAGCAGAGGCCAAAAAAAAAAAAAAAAAGCTAAAGAAAAGCTCAAGTACAGAAATTTTTAATTGGTAACTAGAAATCTTGCGGAAAAGAAAGTTCACTTGAAGAATGGTGAGAAAAATGAACCACGCAAAAGAAGAATCAAAACCCCCCCAAAAAAATTCAAAGAAATTACTGTCCGTCATTGAATAAACACCTAAGAAAACAAAGAAAACAAGGAAATAAGCAAACGCCAGGGAAAAAAGAAAATACACAGAGAGAAACAAAACCCCAAAAAGGCGAAAAATTCAAAGAAATTACTGATAGCGTAATTCATCGTTGAACAAAAACCTACTAAAAAAGCCCCAAAAAGGAGCAAACTTTAAAGAAACAGCTAACTCATAGTAAAAAAAAAAAAAAAAAAAACCCAAGAAATTACACACAGGCAGAAACAGATGAGTTGAATTAACCAGACTGAGAAAAAAAGTTAATCAAAATGAAAACGCAAGAAAGAAAAGAAAATTGTATCACATTGCACAAAGTGAAATACTGAATCTGAGAAGCGAAATTGGGCATAGGAAGGAAGTGATTATTACCGTGAGAGTGGGAGAAGAAGTCGACGTAGGCGTAGCGAAGGGATTTTCCCGTGCGGAAGTCTCGGCAGAGGCGGATGGAGGCAATGGGACCCATGAAGTGGAATGTGGATTCGAGGTCTTTCTCGGTGACTCGCGGGTTAAGATCACCCACGTACAGTGACACCTTCCCAGTCCCAGGAGAGTACGGCGTTGATGCCGTCGTTGGTTGGGGTCGCCTTGACGGCGGTGCAGCGGCCGGTTCCGCCACCATTTTTGCTTTCTCGGAACCCAAGAAGCTCACAGAGAAACGAGAGAGAGAGAGAGAGAGAGAGAGAGAGAGAGAGAAACAGAGAGAAGGAGAGAGAGAGATGTTATGTTTGTTATAACGGTAGAGTAGTCTCTGTTGATTTCTATTTATATAAGCTCTGAGAGAGAGAGAACTTGGTTTTCAGAGCCGGCGTTTTGATCGCCTGAAAGTGGCTATTTGTGTCGTATGAACGTTAAGGGCGGGAAAGTTAACTAAAATAAGCATTTCTTGATTCTTTCTTTCTTGGGTCAGCTACAGGCCCACAGAAATAGGAAGCCCAACTCTAATTGAGATATGGGAAATAGTAGGAAATAGGCCGATATGAAAAGTTTAAGAAAATATATAGACCAATTTTTAGTTATAAAAATTAATAGATTATAATTTATCAAGTTATGGTTCATAACCAGATAAGTTATGGACAAACTTGTCAAGTTATGGTTCATAACCAGATAAGTTGTGGACAATAACTTGTCAAGTTATGGTTCATAACCAGACAAGTTATGGACGAAAACAGTAATTTGGCCTGTTTATTAACTTATGTAAACTATTGGCTTATTAATTTTAATTCATCTCAAGTTTTTGCCTATTTTCTTCTTTCTCCCTTGAGATATTTAGGCCCATATTTTTAAGGTTAGATTTACTTTTATCACTATTACAAAATATATCAAAATAACATTATTTAAGTTTTGTACTTTAACTAAAATTATACTTGTAATTTTATGTATTTAATTCAATATTTTAGATTTTATAAGACGTTTTGTGGTTTTTCATTTATATATTTTTAATTTTTAAATATTTTTGATTGTGGTATTTTATACAATAATTTATGTTTCTTGATATATTTTAATCTAAGTTCAAAACCTATGGTATAGTGCCCACTCCAATTTTTCCTTATAACGGCCCGGCCCACTACTTTTCTTCCTTTTTTTTTTCCTTTTTCAGATTAAGGCATTATTGAAGAAAAATGTTGTTGACACTAGTATTGAAGAAGTTGCTTCTGAAAATGGCCAAGAATTACGTTTTTTGAAAGGTTTCAATGGAAAACTTAAATTGAAATTTGTGAAAAACAATGTAAAAAAAATTAAATTGTAATTCAAACTTTTCGACGGAATCTAAGGCCTCGTTCATTTCACCGATTCGAATTTTCAGTTTTAGGTTTCTACAGTAAAAAGCTCTCAGAAAATGTCACATCTAACTTTTTCTACTACAGTGAAAAGCTCTAAAAAAATGTCACATCTCAGCTCAAATTGAAAACTCGAATCCGCGAAGTGAACGAGGCATAAATATACTTGAGTGGAAATGAAAATTTGGGTCGCAATAAATGGTGTAAATCAAATCCTTAATACTCTGGAAGAAAAAAAAAATCCTAAATACTGATTATTGAACTTACATGTAAAGAACCTTATCTTCAAATATACTATAGAGTGGGACCAACAACTAAAAACAATCATCACTCACTGATCAAGAAGCTTTCTTCTTCTGTAAAAGTGACTCTCCAATACATTTCTATGTGTATATATGCTAAAACAGTCATATACAAACAGGCAAAGTGTAAATATCGTTAAACAGAACTTCTTGTCAAAAAGAACTATAAGAAGCTGATTTTCTGTGCAACTTGAGAGACCCACGACGAGACCTCCTTAGAGCTTCTGCATATTTCAAAAGCTCAGACTTATCAGTAGAATCTGAATGCTTTTCAATTTCATCTTTTGCAGTTGAATCATTAGTTGGGTCATTGGCAATTTCTCCGCCCAAAGCAAAACTCTTGTACACATAAGAGGACCCCACATCACTATTTCTCTGCACACTTTGTACATCCACAACTTCTCTTTCCTTCAAGCTCCTTAATCTGGATAGGTCCAAAGAAGGCCTAGACAAATTCTGAGATGAAGTTCGAAATCTATTATCCTCTGCCACAGCGTAGTCTCCTGTTAGTGTACTTGGGATGTACCGTGGTGAATCTCCATCTTGTTCAACGGATTCAGGTTTATGATCTCCTGACAAAACCTGGCTACTATGATGACCGTCTCTCCCCCGGACAAGTTTCCTGAGCTTGTTGAAGAACTTCTTCTTGCTTGAAGTGTTGGTTTTGGCGGCAGATGAATTATCCAAAGACGATTCATCTAAGTCCACGGAATCTGTGAACGAAGCTTGGGATGATGACCATCGGTCAGAATCGAAATCCATAATGCTGATCCCCTTTTCCCCTATCCCTTCTGTATTGGCATATTCCAGTATCAACTGCTTTGCCTTCTCCTCAGATTTCGGGCTTAATGTTTTGCTTAGGTCCCTTGCAACCATTTTGCCAGTTGCAGGCTGATAATCCCGCAGCTCGTATCTTAAACAAGCGTTTATCCACCGGAGATAAACTAATTCTTCAATATCTGCACATCTGTCCGCTTTAAGCTGCTCGATTTCCTGCCTCAAATCCTCGTTTGCTTGTCTCAAACGCACGCTTTCCTCTTTCAATGCATCTGTCTACAACAAACATATGCTCTAAATATGTGAAATGGATTCAGGAGTAGTGACAAGAAGAAGAAAATGAAACAGACAATAATTACCTCAGGATCTTCAAGAACATAATTTGCGAGTATCTTTGTGGACTCCAACCTCTGAGCCAATTCAGAATTTTCGAGCTGCAACATCAAATTAGACTTCCTCAGCTCTTCAATCTCACCCTCCAAGTCTTTTATCCTTTTCAGCTTCAACTGAACATCAGAGTTACTTGCAAGAGACTTGTATTCCTCGTCTTGCATCTTCGCAACTCTTTGCTGAAGATTTAAGATCTGTTCCTTGTTCTGTTCAGCTTCAAATCTCAGTTTCTTCTTAAGCAGCTTGATTTTTGCTCTTGCAGCCTCGAGTTCAGTCACAGCGTTAGCGTGGCCAGCAACTTGTGCCTCCAGTCTTTGGTTTTCCGCGTGCAAAGACTCAATCTTGAGACTAAAAAGCTTAGCCTCCATGTTGTTTAATTTTAAACGATTTTGGAGCTCCATGACAGTGGTCTCCTGCTCTTTAACGCCATAATACTCGAGTAACTGGACCTCAAGATTCCTCTCCCTCTCGCAAAGTAGCCTAACCATGTTCTGAAGGCGGTTGATCTCTTGTTCGTATTCATCCTTTTGTGCACTAATAAACACTTTCGGAGTCTTTACATCTGAACTAGTAGTATCCACATCCTCTGGAGAAACCCCAGCAGTGGCTCCAGCCAAATCAAATTCCTTCATGAGATCATTGAACTCCGGTAAGAGGAAACCCTCTCTGTCTTCGCTGAGCCGACTACACGGAGAGAGGCCAGCGATGGAATTCTCTCCAGTGAGTTTCTGCATGTATGGCTCTTCCTGGTATAAGAAAGAAACTATGATAAGCATCTGGGCCAGAAATTTGCAGAGCTTCCATCACATGTCAGGAGATTCTAACATGTAAAAATTGATTCTCATATTGGTTCATAAGAAAAGATCTCTAAAAATTGATTCTCATATTGGTTCATATGAAAAGTAAAAGGTCAAAAATAGAGTGGTCTATGCGTGATTCCCAAGCAGTACAAAGAAACAAAAGGAGCAAAGGTGAAGGATGGAAATTTTTAATACCGTGGGTTTGAAGACTTCATAACTCATAAGTTAGCAGTAATCTGACAAAAATCAATGGAAATTGAGTACTCATCAAGCATCTCATGCTCGAAAGAAAAGAATATTGTAGATTATTGACATTTCTATGATTTTTGTTTTCCCTTGACTGGAATTTAAAATTGTTAGTTCTTAGTTTCTTAATTAGCAATATAATTCTGCAAAAATAATAAATAAAAAAACCCTGCTTATTCATAGTAATCAGTCACATAACAAAAAAGAAAGAATAATAATAAGAAAAACTTTCATGAGCTTACAGAAATAAACAAATAAGTAATGTTTTTCAAAAGAAAAAAAAAACAAAAAAAAAAAAAAAAATTGATCATATCCATCAAAAATTACTTTTAAAATTAGAAATTACCGATAAAAAGATAACCGTTTACTATTAGCTGGACAGATTATTTTATTTTATTTTATTTTACAAGACTCAATCAAACAGAAACTTACATATTTTTCCGATGAAACCGAGGCAACACCGTAAGAACTGGCTCTTGTCTTCCTCGCATGAATCTCATCTCTCCGTCTAGCTTTCCCTCTTGAATCAACTTCACTTCCATGATCTAAAAGTATAATATTGATTCTAAGATTAGAAAAAAAGAATATATATATATATACACATATTATATATATAACAAATAAAACAGAAAAGTAAAGTAGAAATTCCAAACCTGAGGAGCGTGGCGATTTAGGAGGAGGAAGAGAAGGCTTGAGTCTTCTGGTTCTGAGGCGAGAATACAGAAAACTAGCGAAAGACAAAGCTAAAGCCACCCCAAATTTCAGTATAATTGGCTTTATGTCGCTTTTCTCTTTCATTTTTATTGCTCAAGATCTTTGATTATTCTATAACCTCTTCTTCTTCATCTTCCATCTTGGTCATCAGAAAGGAAAAATTGAAAATCAGAATACAAACAAAGCCCTTGACTTTGATTAATCATAACCCATCAATGATTGAACTCAAAGGTGAACAGAAAAATCATGTTTGGGAAAAACCCATACCATTATGCTGTTTCTGGATTAAAGAAATAATTTCTACAAGCCCATGAACAAGAGACTTTCATATGATCAATACCAGCAAAAGAATACAAAAAGTATGTGATATTTAACAAGTGGATCAAAAAGGATCAAAAAGACAGCAGCAACCTTTTGATTTTGTGTATGAGTTGTGATTCAGAGGAAGATTTGTTTGTCTCTTTCATATTACTCGGAGAAGAGATGAACAGGTAGTTGGTATAAACAAACATGTCAAAGGTTTCAACTTTCCTATCATAAAATGTGGACTGACATTGGCCATTAAAATTTGTCTTATGTCAAGGTGAACGTGACATGCGAAAATAGGCATGGGGAAGAGACTAGAGAGAGAAAGCATGAGAGAGAGAGAGGGAATGCAATTCGGATTCCTCCTAACTTCCAATTGGACATCTAGAGAGAGAGAACTGGTTGGGACACGCAATATGGGATCATTATAAAAGATATATACATATATATTTAGAATAATTAAGCGGCAATTGAAATGGATGGTCCTTAACTTTTTTTAAGGAGGTGATAATTTGGTTTCTATTTTTTAATTTTGATAAAATAGTCTTTAATGATATTAAATTAGTGCAATTAAGTTTGTTTTTTATCTAACTCTATTAAATTTTAAACTGTTTTATACATGTGATCTTTAACATGTCACTTTTATAATAAAGTTACAAAAATATCTCCCACATAAATCAACTCACTAATAATTAAAAACCAAAAACCAACAAAAAAAAAAAACAAGAAAAAAGAAAACTGGCTGGATCTCATCGGGATTTTGACCCAAACTCGCCGCCTAGTTGTTGCGACTTTCGTCACGGCAAGTCGTGATTTCAGTTGAGACGTCGCGGCCACCGTCACGATGTCGGGGGTCGCGAATCACGATGAACTCTGTGACGTCGATAGTGGCGAATCACTTCAAAATCGCGACGGCCACAACGAATCGCCATGAAATCCGCCGCATAGGGACATGTCTTGACGAAATCGCGCCGATCTCCTCTACGGGTCAATGAGAATCGCGATCTTCATTGCGATGAAATTCATCGTGCGTTGGGTGTTGACGAAATCACGCCGATAAGACTTTAAATAGAAAAAACATGTGGTAGGGCTCTGAAATATTTGGCCAATCTCATGTGTTTTTTTTATTTATTTATTTTTTCTTGACGAGGACCACATGTATAAGTTTTGGTCTTGGTTTATTTTTTACCATCATGCCAAAAGCAAGTAGTGTTGGATATATACCACAACGTAACAGTAAGAATATCTTTCATTCTTCGCCTTTTAGAATCCGTTTAAGCTTTTAGACTCCACAAACTCACTTTAGGTATTGTGTCCAACCAAAGGATTTGTGATGATATAAGTAAAAATTAGGTCTATTTTTCGAGTACAATTGAATCAAGTCCTCTTAATTTTACTAGTAAATCTTGAAATTTCTAAAGTTATAATAGAGAAGGAGCGGAATGATACTAATTATTCTCTAAAAGAAGTAGTATTCCATATATATATATATATATATATATATATATATACATACGGTGTTTTACTAAAAAAGAAACAGTATCGTTTAACCTTGTTGAGAGTCGGATTTTTAGACGGTAAAAATAAGCGTGTAAAATACGGTATTCTAACATAAAGAAAAGTTAAAAAAGTAGCAACTAATTAAGAACGTGGCCAAAGTTGGCAAAAAAATCACACTTTCCGTCATGAATGGGAGGCCGTTGACAATAAGGGGCGGACCGGAAGTTGCTGCCGGCATTTAAGAGAGAAGTCAATCTTTTTTCTTTTGGGACGAAGATGAAGATGGTTTTAGTTCTCTGCTTCAGCACTTATTTTCTCCAACTTGATATGTGGGGTCATCTCTAATCCAATTAAATGCAGCCCTTGGACTCTCCCCTTTTTTTTTCTTATCAGTTTATCAGTTTATGAGTTTATGCTTTTTTTTTTTCTTTTTGTCCTTTCATTTAAAAAAAATAAAAATATCCTTGCTTTGATATTTTATCAAAATATTATTTTTTATACGATCACATGATTTACACATAATTAATTTCGTTAAAAAATAATAAAACTAGACAAAAAAATTATACTAATTTAATGACGTTAGGGATTATTTTATCAAAATTAAAAGCATAAAAATTAAAATGTTAAAGAGATTAAAATCATCTGTGTCAATTATCGATAATTAAAATAATTAGGTGGTTTGGTTTTCGCAACATTTATTTAGTGGTTTAGACTCTAATATATTTGTTACAGTTCCATCGCTCACAAATCGCAGTCTGGATTCTGTGCAGGAAGGAATGGGGTGCTGGGGCGGCGGTCAAAGGTCAACCACTGTGGAATAAACATTTTTTTCCAAATAAAAAAGTAATAGTTGTTTGATAATTCATGAAAAGGAAAATGTTGATCATGATGTGAAAAGAAAATGTTTGTTTTTTGTTTTTTTAATTGAGTTAAATTTAGTCTAAATTTTCTAAAACGAAAACCTAAACAAAGAAACGTGGTTCTGACTTCGAATGAAGCTGAACACCTGTACATAATAATACTAAACAATAATAATCATAAATAATAGTTCTGAATGATGCTGAACACATGCACATGCCAACTAAACCAGCCCCTTGGCCCTTACCACCAACTCTGGAACTTTTCAATTACAATAATAGGGTTGTTTAGTTGGAGAATTCGTACTCTAATTTAAATTATTGTTCATAATTTATTACAGTATTTTCTCTCACAAAAAATACATATAAATTGAAAATAATTTTAATTTTATGATTATAATCCATGAACCAAACGTCTCATTAATAATTTTAGGTGAAAAAAAGGACGCAAAATATAATGTCATTTATACATTAAATTAATAACCCTTAGTTGTTCAAATTCAGAAAAAATAATGTGGTTCAGTTATTTCTTTTATGAGAAAAATAAAATGACAGTAAATTGCTTGATTATTCTTTTTTTTTCCTTTGAGAAATTGGTAATGATTAGTAGTATTTCATTGTTGCCCCCAATTGGTGATGATTAAGAGTGGCATTTTTATGAGAAATTAACGTATCCGAAGGCTGAAGAGTGAAGAAGAACTTAACTCTAAAAACGTTTAGACGTTTCGACATAAAAGGATGACAAACGACAACAAAACTTAAAAACTACAAGAAACGATAAAAGGATTTGAACTCTGTCCTGTCCCCTGTTCGAACTTGAACAAAAACCGAAGAAAAGTTACTACTGTCTTTTGAACTTCCCGGGTTCCGACATCTCGATTAAATCTCCGTTGAACCCTAACAACTGTCTGTCTAGGGTTTTAGTCTTCGTCGTCGTCTTCTTCTTCTTCTTCTTCATGCAAATTTCAGACATGAAAGCCCTCCGATCACTCTCTCTCCACAAACACTTTCTCTCTCCCACCATTCGCAACCCCATTCCAGACCCATTTCGCCTCTCCTCACACTCGCACTCCCCCACCCTCCAAAACGCCACATTTTCCCGCAACTTCCACTCCACAAGCTTTCTCTTCACATCCGACGCCCCAAACAGCCGAATCGACCCGAGCTCCGACGCAAAACCCCCCAGAGTCTGGACCGTCTTCGACCCCGTCTCCGGCAGAATCGTCACGCAGAAGGTCAAACACGGGGAATTACAGTCGGAAGGCGAAACCCAGAAGAGCTCGTCGGAGTCTGGAGATGCGGTTGGGGAGCATTCGCCGGAGGAGAGGAGTTATGGGAGTTTCAGAAAGGTGAAATCGGTGGGTTTGAGGGACGTAGTGGGGAACAAGAAGAAGGGGAGGGTGAAGACTTTGTGGGTTTGTTCGAGCTGCGGGCATACGGAGGGGCAGTGGTGGGGAATGTGCCGGTCGTGCGATGCGCCGGGGACGATGACGGAGGTTTTGGATGGGGATTCTAATGACGGGAAGATTGGTGGTGGGGTTTCCGAGAAAGTTGGGTCTTGGCTTCCCAAGAAGGAGGGTGAGGTGCTTCCTATTCGGCTTAAAGACGTGCAACGTGGTATTAGTAATCAAGAATGGCGGTTTCCCTTGTAAGTTGTTGCTTATTTTTTGTTTTTGTTTTTTGTTTTTTTTGTGTGTGTAGAAGAGTCATCTTTTGTTTACATTGATTTGGTTTTGCTTCGTAGATGCATGGTGGGTTCTTTCTTTACCATGTTTTATGTTCTTAATCAGTGTTGTTGATGCTTAGGCCTGGACTTTTCGGGAATGAAGTTGCTAGGGTGCTTGGTGGTGGTCTTGTTCCAGGTCAGGCCCAAGTTAGTTGTTTATGCAACTATTTTGTTGATTCTTTAGATTAGCTTTTTTCCCCCCTCTTAAGTCTGAAGGTAGATCAAGATCAATATGACTCGCTCTTTGTAAAGATGCAGACTCATAAATATCATTTGTGAGCCATCATGTCTAAACATGAAAAAGCATGGGCAGTGTTGCTGGGATGTTTTATTTATTTATTTACTTATTTTTCTGGATTTTCTGGATTTGATTCTTGATATTCAGTGGATTCGCATTGAATAACAGATGTTTTAGGGACAGTTTGTATTGTTTCAATGCATGGCACCCCTGAATTGTTTTAGGGACACATTGATCTTGCATTCTATATTACAGGCTTGCAGCTGTTGCAGTTACTCTTGTTACAAGATCTTGGTATGGACTTTCATGTGTTCAGTGCCAACATTTAGATTATTTCGTTTTCTGTTTGAAGGTTGTTTGGTTTTGGTTGGTGGTGACCCTGGTGTTGGCAAGAGCACACTCTTATTGCAGGTAGTAATTTGCTGTAATATTTTATCTGGTCTTACTTTGTAGCATTCACTCACCTTTCCATTCCTCGGTATATTTTGTTTCTGAAGGCAAGTTCAACTTCTTGCTTGTTTTTGCATTCATGATTCTATTCTCATGTCATATGATACTCTTGGATCTGATTTTATGAAGGTTGCTGCCTTAATATCTGAAGGGTGTGATTTTGGTGGACCAGCCCCAGTAGTATATGTCTCAGGTGAAGAGGTGAGCATTTTATTATCCTAGTAGTTACTTGCTTTGAGACTACCCTCACATATTGCTATATCATTCTTCCTGATTCTTTAATCTTGCATGGGTAACTAAAAGTTAGATGGCCTGCGAACAAGATGCTAGAAATCAATATTCAAGACTCACAAGACTTTAAATAATTTTGCTGAACAATGGTGTTGACTTTGATTAGGCGTATATCAAGTCTGCTTAAGAGATCTGCAATAAGGCTGGTTTTATCTATCTTATGTAGTCTTGAAGGTGTCTGGTGATATGTCAATTTTATACTTTCCTGATGGACAGAATATCACTTTTGTCATATCTCTAGCAATATAATGTTGGTTAATTCACTTTGCTGCTTGTTGACAGAGTATTGAGCAAATTGGAAACAGGGCGGACCGTATGGATATAAAAACCGAGGAGCTATTCTTATATTCGAGTACTGACATTGAGGTCCATACTTCTAGTTATGTTTTTAGACCTTTTCTTTTTTCCATTCACATTACCACTGTACTTGATTTGCTGTTATATCGGATACTTCTAGTTATGTTTTTAGACCTTTTCTTTTTTCCATTCACATTACCTCTGTACTTGATTTGCTGTTATTTCGTGGTATCCTTTTTACTACATTCCCTGTTGAATATGTGGACACACTTGCACCATTTTTTAGTTGAATCAACTTGTAGAGCATGTTCCCTTACCTTCTTGACCTGGAACAGTCAATGAGGTAAAATTGCAAACGTAATTGGTGAGTTTGCCTTCTTTCAGGACATAATACAGAAAGCTCACATTCTGTCACCTCGGGCTTTGATCATTGACTCAATACAAACAGTTTATTTAAACAATGTGACTGGAAGTGCTGGAGGGTTATCCCAGGTTGGACTTCTTACTTGTAGCGTCTGTGAATGACGTGATTCTATTTCGTGAGGCTTGATGCTTGCAATTGCTTCCCGTACTAACCATCCTCTGGGATGTTATATGAGATGACACTTCTATATATTTGAAACAACTTCTTCTTCTGAGTTACAAACAGGCATTCCTCCTGTTTTGCATCTGAATGTCCACACTTTTGATTATTAGGTTCTCCACTCTAGGTGTTTATCTTGCAATATAAAATTGTATATGGTTGTTATGCTAACGTCAAAGAGCACTAAGTACACATTTTTGTTGCACGACTATATCATGGTTTCTTTATTGCAGATGTGCTGATGTTGTTTAATTGCATATCAGGTAAAAGAATGCACATCAGCTTTGCTGCGTTTTGCCAAGAAGACCAACATTCCTGTTCTCTTGGTGAGGATCCGCTGTCAATGTGAATCTTGTGATTTCTTTTCATAAATCATGGCCCTCTTGTTTACATTTTCCCTTTTTATTTGCCTTGCAGATTGGACATGTTACAAAATCTGGAGAAATAGCTGGACCCCGCGTCTTGGAGCATATAGTGGATGTTGTTTTATATATGGAAGTTGGTACCTTGAACATTTCTTGTACTGGATGATTGGGAATGCTTTTGCAAATAGTTTATTAGCTCCTTTTTTCTCTTTTCCCCTTCTTCCTTTCATTGGACCTGGACCTTTTTATTACATCTTTTGTGTTAGCCATAGCAAATTCTGAGTTAAATATTCTGATTGATGACCATGATTTATTTTATATATCCACAGGGAGAGAAGTACTCGTCTCATCGTTTACTTCGATCTGTCAAGAATCGTTTTGGATCCACGGATGAGGTATGCATTTCTTGTGAGATTACATCCAATATAAGAAACTGCACTGATATGGCTGCTCCTTGAACCTAGAAGTTATCTGCGTTAGTTACGAGTCCTGCAAAATGTTTATGAAGGTATCAGAACCAAAATCACTTTCTTAAACAATATGATTATTTGTGTTGTCAGCTTGGAGTATTTGAGATGTCGCAAAGTGGACTGCAAGCAGTTGTAAATCCTAGCGAGATGTTTCTAAGTGAGGAATATGCAGGGTCAGAAGTTTTAGCTGGCTTAGCTGTTGCTGTTACTATGGATGGATCTCGGAGTTTTCTCATTGAGATTCAGGTAGCTTTTTGTTGGCTTCGTGTTTGTTCCTTTAGAATATGTAACTAACACTCTGAAATGACAAGTTCAAAATAACTGAAATGAAGTCTCTTTTTTTTTTTTTTTTGGGGGGGGGGGGGGGGGGGGGGGGGGACAAAAG